GCAGACATTAGGATCGGAGTCTGCCGTGGCGCTCGAGCCGGCCGGAAACTCGGTTCGCCCGCACAGCCACGTTGCCAGAATCGGTCGGCTTTGGCCAAGTCAGCGCAACTTGCAAGCCATCGCCAAGCGTCTTCTTCACGTTCACACCCCCCTTTAACTGGTTGGGCAGCTCTGATGCCCGTCGACTCGGGCCCAAACAGATCCTGGCAAGAGGCAACCAAAGAAACACGAGATTGTAGAACTCGAGTAAACGAATCAGGCGAAGGATGTATGGCAGCAGGGCTCCCGAGTGGAGCCGAGTTGGAGTGGCGGGATTCCAACGAGAACTTGTATTGCCAGACGGATTGACACATCATACACCCACTCACACACGTACACACACACAGTTTGCTCGGTCGGTCGAGGCGATGATGATCGAGTTGTGGGCGGATCCTTGTCGCTTTGTGAGGCTGGCCCCGCAACGACAATCGCGCCAATCGCGGGGACGGCCCACCTGCTCACGCCCGATACAGCGGCACAGACTCGGCCAGGCCCGCGGCCATACAACAGTCTGCAGAAGAGATGATTCATGAGCATGTACATGTTGTCTCACTCTCTTTCTTTCTTGTTCTATTATTTTTCATCTTTTAAGCAATACTCTCTCCATGACAAACATCCTGTATCGGTGCAAGCCTGTAGTTAAGAGTACAATCGAAGTCCTCTCCCACACTGGGATCCCGGTTCCGAGCCCGCTGCCGGCCGGGTAGCAGGAGCCCGCCTCCACCCTCGTTCCACACACACACACACACACACACACAAACACACACGAAGGTTAGAATATGTGTAAAAGTACAGACATGACTATGAAAAAGAAGACACGGCCACACATGCAGAGAGGGGGATTCGCGATTCTCACGCCTGTGAGAGTACGAGACTGAAACAGCCACATATTGCATCAAAAGTCCTAGTGCCTGGAGTAGAGTCGGCCCGTCCAGGTGAATGTTGAGCCAGACAAGTCCTTCCTTATCGCGTCAGACTCAATAATTCATTTAGATGTGAAAAGACTCCCCGTTTTTGAGATGTGCTGGCTGGCTGGCAGAGAAAAGGTCGGATGTGAATGACCAGAATCTATTCGAAAAACCAAACGGGCCTAGACATGATCAAGGAGGCACAGACACAAGGGGTATGTATGGAAAGATCGACAGACGGAGAGATAAAATTCACACTGATTAAGAGGTGGTTCCGAGTGACTACGAGGAGAGATTGCGTGATGGAATGATGAACGGACAGGTGGATGGCTGGGGATTGCGGAGGGGTAGAGACAAATGCATAGATTGGTGGATAAGTAGAAAAGTAGACAGACAATTGTGAATATGTGAATAGAGATAAGGGCGTGTAAATCGATAAATGGATCGATAGAGAGGCCAATAAATAAAGTGATAGGTTCACAACACGAGAGATTACGTGACTGACGCTCTATAGAAAGATTAGTGGAACACTTTGCAACCAGGTGGATTATTCACGAGGGCTGGGTAGACGTACGGATGGATGGATGGATGGATGGATGGATGGATGGATGGATGGATGGATGGATGGATGGATGGATGGATGGATGAAAAGAGACCAAGTGCTCTGTTGAGTGCATAGCTTGACGAAATAGTAGAGGTCACCGCGAGTGGGAAAAGTTTGGAAAATCGAAGAATTGGAGGTAAGACTTGAGAACAAGTGGTTGTAATAGCTGCATCGGCAAGAATAGGTGAATGGGCAAATGGTTGAATGACTTGGCACAAACAGTTGTCCAAATGCAATCTTGTGTCTGGATTGGTGGATTGACGATTGGATGGCCGAGGGTGGGGCATAATGGGGAAGTTGAAATATTAGCACCCGAGGAGAACTTGAATGATGCGAGTGGGTGAATGGATGGACGCAAGAAGCGCTGCGAGGTCAAAACAGATCTTCTTCGGCATCTTCTAGTAGCTTCGACGAGGCGGCTCAATGGCGCGTCAGGCAGATGAGGCCGCGTTGTCGAAAGAAGCCCCTCGGGCGGCCGAGTTCCCCACTCCGGGTTGGCGAGAGGAGCCAGTAAATGTGGTGCAGGACGGCCTTCGGATTGTAGGAGCGCCGAGGGCGTCGACTGTGCACCGGGTCCCGTCGCAAAGCTTGCAACGGCCCCACTCAACTACACCCAACCCATTACCTCATTGGTCGCCACCCCACACACACACACACACACATACACACCTCGGACACCCTAAATGCAGCCAGCCAGCCTCCACGGTCGTCAGGTGAGCAGAGTTCATGGCTGGATTAAGCGTGAGCTGTCCAATTGTCCTTTCCGCCACGGAGACACATGCGCCTCTACGAGGCGTGTAAACAACAGGAAGCCAGACGCAGAGTTGCCATTGCAACCTGGCCCGAAGCCTGGATTCAGGACAGAGTTCGGAATAGGCTTTTGAAATGAATTTTGAGCGCTAATCAACGAGACAGGCCATCCGCCGCATGCGCCTACAATTACGGTACCAGAGACTCGCAACCTAGGCCCATGCAACCATGCCGGACAGGGCATGGAGCTGGGCGCAATCA